CGCGCTTGCTTGCTTGCTTGTTCCCAAGTATGTTGGCTAGTCGTGCATCGCACCCAGCCTCCACCAATTCAATCTGCCCAATATGCAGCTTTTGCGACCAACCAACGCAGGCTTCAGTACTCAGCTCAACCGCTCAAATCTCGAGTACTTACCAAGTCTCAGCTTCATGTCCTAATGGCACATGCAGGCAGTAATGCCATCGACCATCTAGCAGAAAACGTTCAGGGNATCCAGCAACCACCTACAGGCTTTGCACCACGTACAATCGACTGCCAAGTATGCTCACAGAACAAAGCTCATCAGATCATCTCTCGCCGTATGGACATGAGATCGGCGCGTCTCGCCCATTTGAGACAGTTGCGATTGACATTATCAAACTTGATGTTATAGGCTACAATGGGCATCGATATATGTTCCATGCCTTTGATCTATACACAAAGTTCAACTTCGTATGCTCTGTTCCAAAACGCGATAAGGAGACTCTACGTGAAGCAATTACTCGCCTAGATCGTACGATCAAACGAGAGTTCAATACTACCGTTACATTTATAATAGCCAACGACGAACGAGGCTATAGATTAACAGATGACTCGACGCGAGCATACTGCCAGCAAGAAGGGATTAGATTCCAAATCAGAACTCCACATACAAAGGAGCAGAACGGATCTGCAGAGAGATCAGGAAAGACTCTAATCGACTGCTCACGATCCATGCTAGGCACTTCAAGACTGCCTCTTTACCTTGCTCCAGCTACACCTCTCCTTCTTGAAGAACTACCCCCTTCAGACCAGCCGAGAAACGACGCAAATATATACAGATACGCACAGCTAGTCGGATCAATCGGCTACGTTGCAGCTGCTACACGGCCTGATGTATCAAAAGCGCATTCAAAGCTGGCTGGATTTCTTACCAATCCTTCACAACAGCATATTGATGCTGCTTATCAAACACTCAACTATCAACACTCCACAAAAGATCGAGCACTATATTACAATGCCTCTGTCTCTACTGATACAGCGCACATCGAAGACCACAAGGAACCAGAGTTCTATGGTGCTACAGATGCNTCGTACGCCGACCACAAGGCCACAAGGAAGAGTTCGCAAGGCTATATATTCTTCCTGTTTGGCGGCCCTATTGACTGGAAGGCTGCAATGCAACGATGTGTCACAAAATCAACTACTGAAGCTGAGCTAGTCGCTGCCTCATCTGCAGGAACAGACCTGCTATAGTGGTGGAGACTATTCAAGGATATCGAATTCGACCCAGACCAGAAGCAGATACTATACTGTGATAACCAACAAACAATACGGCTGATTACAGCAGCTACACCACGACTAAAGACGTCACTTAGGCACGTCGATATACACCATCACTGGCTTCGTCAAGAAGCAAAAGCTCACAACTTTAACCTTACATACATACCAACCAGCGTTCAACCCGCTGATGGATTTACTAAACTACTACTTCATGAGAGACACGAGAATTGCGTATCACTCTTACATTTTGATACATATATTTCCTACTATATAGCTATAGTGCGGTACTCTTCCTGGTTTTTCCTATATGGTTTNTACAGGTTTAACGAGGCTGTACGCTCATAAAGCTCTTTCTTTTACATCAAGGGACACTACCAAACTCCATAAAAGAACAAGAAGCAGTCAGGACCTCAGTGCTAGCTCTAGGAGACGTCCGACTACTGGGGACGCCCATAGTACAGAGCGAGGTCCACCTACACCGCGACGGCGGACGATCTCCACCTGGCATTGCTCCAGTTCAAGCGGCTACCCACCGCACTCGTGCAAGCAGCCCTACTCTACAGAGTAGGGGGTGGCCTATGATCACATCAGCTTCAACATACGTTTGAACCTGAGGGAGGTGTGTAAGCCCAGAAGTACCATGTATAGTCACGTGGTTGCCCACTGACCAATAACGCTGTATTTAAACTTCTATCACGAGACACACAAGAGACAATACTTATCACATGCACAACTGCTTACGTATATTATAACTAGCTAAAACTAGATGATGTTAATCGTTAACTTCTATAATTTCTTTTTCGCACGCGCGGGAATTATGCCTTGTCTCTCCGTAGCGCTTGCAGTGCCTTTTGCGCTGCTTGCTTGCAGCTGTTCGGGCCTTACCTTCACGCGTTGCCTCGTCTACCTGCGCTCTAACATTTAGTTCAGCTGTCAAATCCTCTGCTTGTTCTTTTGAAAGGTCCCCACCTTCTTGGATCCGCTTCCGCTTTCGCGATTTATGCTCGGAGGCAGCCTTGTTTGACGCTTTAGGTTGCAGCACTCGGGCTGCTAGCAACGTCTGCGAATGCAGTATCATCTCAGTGCCCTTTCCAAGCTGATCAAACATACTAACTATAGCAGAAGGTGAGGAATCCTGATATTTTCGAATATGGTCTCGAAGCAGCGTCTATTGAGCCTCTACTTCAGCAGCGTTGGTGGGTGTCTTAGGGCTCCACTGTGTCGCCCCTGGTGGAGGCGGTGTTGGCGTGCGAAGCTTGACATCAAGCTTCGATAGCACCACTAATGGTTGTTAGATACTAGGCCAGCTGCTCTAAAGCTTGAAGTAATGTCAGTCTTTGAGAAAGCTGTCTCAAAAACCTTTGCAAACGACGCGTTGAATGCTTTTTTTTTATCAACTCGGCCAATATTGCCTGTCGCCAAGGCTCGGATCTCTTTGCTATACTCCCGCTTCAAAGGAGCAAAACACCCCACATCAAGTGGCTGCAGGATGTGGAATGAGTGTGGCAGCATACATAAGGTGATAGTCTTGTTCTCCTCGCAAAGACCTGGAAGGCAAGCGATTTGTGGCTCTCGTGGCCGTCAATTATAAGCAGCACGTGGCTACCCACCCTCCGTCCCTTTATTTGCTCAGCAAAGTGCTTCAACTAAGCCACATCAATGTCGTTCGTAGTCTAGCTGTTTTCACTGACCCCAATGCGCCATTGAGGCATTAATTCAGGGTACCAGGATGTGTCGTGGTTCTCTGCTTTCGAGATGAGGTAGAGCGCAATCGCCCAGCCCATCGCATTAATTGCAGCGATCAGAGTCACCCACTCGCGGTCTCCTTGTTGTACTCCAATAGACCTGTTCTGTCTCTGAAGCAATCACTACTTGCACGCAGTTTCCGACACCCATAGTAAAGCCAGTCTTGTCAAAGTTGTAGGTATCTTCGTCCTGGATGCTGTACTTGGCCTTGACATTGCGTACAAGGTCGAACCAGGACCTGATAACATCTGGATCACTATTTACATAAGACTCTCTGGCGATCGCGCTGCCGATTCATTCCTAATTTGAGCTCGAGTTCGCGTTTGACGAAGTTTGAAGGCCATCGTGGACCAACAGGCTTTGCATCACGCGCAGCCCGCAGTTGATTGATCACATCTTCAACGCAACGAAGCGTTGAGCAAAGCCTTGCGCATCAAGTTTCTTGATATAGTGTATAAGTGCCCTCTCTTCAGTCTTCCCAAGGTTGGCTGATTTAGGGCGGGTATCGCGTGTTGACTGCTTCCCAACACGTCGACGGCGGAGGGTCGCTTCAGAGACATTGTAAACTATAGCAGCGCGTCGCACACTTAGGGTTGGGGGCTTCTTAATTGCTTGTAGGGCTGGCTTAATCCTCTCTTCTTTTAGTAGCAATTCACAATTTGGTGGTTGAGACATTATGATCCAAATGTTAGAGAGCCTGATAGTTTTTTGGGGTGCCTCACTCGCTATGCACACACGTTAACGACTTTCTCGTATACAGTGAAGATAATGCCTCCACTGAAAACCAATCTACCTAAGCGCATTGTGCAACCACGCCAAAATCCTCGTATGCCTGTTTCCAGTAAGATACTTCGGAATGCACCGCTTATTTTTGCACCCTGTGCGCTTTGCACTCGTGTTTTAATAGTATCGAATGGTTGCGTCACGTACACCTTGATTGTGCCAGCAAGAGCGCCAATAGTGAACGTAGTGACGCTGTTTTGTGAAAGATTATTTCGGCAGGATAATTCCCTAAGAATGTTATACGAGCCCATTGAACAGCCGACGCTGCAGACTGCTTCATCGTTGTTGATGCAAATCCGCGATACATGCCTAGTAGGCCTTGTGTCATCAGAATCGATTTGGCTGCATGAAAACCACCACGGTATCGGCGGTTTCCACTCTTTGCATCGATGAGTACAGTCTTGATGCGTTCTGATGGCGTGACTGCGACAGCACTTTCAACTACACCAACCAACATGCCCGCGAGCAGGCCTCGTGAAGGCGATAAGATGCCGCGCTCATCCGTAAGGCGGCTACGAATGGAACCGAAAGACAAGAAGCGTACACTGGCCTTGAAGGCGGTGCCTATAATTAGTGTTGAGCATCCTGTGTAGATTGCCCCAAACCCGTCATTCCGCGCAACCTGTGCGACAATTGCAAAAGGGTTTTTCGAGCCTCCCACTACCAATTGGGCGCGTGTTTTCGCGAACTCGAACGGATATGTCGCAGATGCTTCCACACCACCAGCAATCGCACCAGCTAAGAGCGAAATGTGCACAGATGGATTCAATTCAGTAGCTGTCCTATGCACCGGTTGCTTTCGCGCTGGTAGGGAGACCATCGTACGGGCATGGGTCGGATTAGAGTTGAGGACAGCGGTCATAAATAGACTCATGTGGGAGATAAGGGTGGTGTCACAGGACCTTCAGATGTCAGTAAGGGAGCCATGATGAGGAGACATTCGGAATCGTATATAACTACGTATGTTGTTTCAGTAAAGTGATCATGTAAGAGTGAAGCTGCGATCGCTTACTGTAGGACTACTATGGCAGTCAGGCTGCGCATTGAAGTGATCGGTAGCGTTAAGTAGTGAGTCTCGGTAATCTCTTGAGTTTTGCAACGGAACCGCTAACTAGGCCGGGCAACCGAATCCGGGTCCGGTCTCAAGAATTAGCCTATCCATCTGCAGCCGTAAGCGCAGCTCCGGGTAGCGAGCTGTTCTCAGGAGATTAGATTAGATTAGATTCATCCTACTCGGTTTCAGCCGCGTTTTCTCCGTAGTAGCTATGCCCGGCATGGCTGGCTAACGTGCTCCACCAGTGAGCTGCGCACCCCAGTAA